AATTATTATATTTTATCGGTAAATTTGCATCTCTCGTCAATGGATGTGTTATGCCAGTATTTTCATTTGTTCTTGCTAGTTTACTCAACACTTATGCTATTCCAGACAAAGTAGAACTTCAAAATGAAGCCAGAATGTATGCATTAATCGTATTAGGAATAGCAGCCATTAATGGAATTTCTGCTCACCTAAAGTATTATTTACTTGAAAGAGCTTCTGAAAGATGGGCGATTAAATTACGTCATTTAGGATTTGGAAAAGTATTACGACAACCTCAATCATGGTTTGATGCATCTGATCATGCTGTTGGAAAAATTACGACAATTCTTGTTAATGATACTGATACAACAAAAAATTTAATTGGACATTTTATAGGTAATATGACATATGGTATTGTTTCATTATTTGGAGGAATGATTTGGGCTTTTGCTATTGGATGGCAATTAACTTTAGTAGGATTCGGACTGGTTCCGATATTAATTATTACATCTGAATTACAAGCTTATGTTTTACAAAAATATGAAAAGAAACAAAAAGTTGCAAATGAAGAAGCTGCAAATTTATTTTATCAAATGGTTTCTAGTATTAGAACTGTTTTTTCACTTTCTATTGAAAAAGCAATGGAAGAAAAATTTCAATTTTCCCTTAAAGTTCCATATGAAATTGGTTTTAGAAAAGCACTTATTTGTGGATTTACTTTAGGACTTTTAGAATCTTTTAATTATTTTTCAAAAGCTATAACATTTTGGTATGGTGCTCAACTAGTATTTCAAGGAATTTATGATTTAAAAACGATGTTACAAGTTTGGACTTTAGTTATATTTTGCACAACTGCTGCTTCACAAATGTTAGCAACTATTCCATACTTTGCTAAAAGTAAACAAGCTGGGAAATCTGTAGCAAGACTCCTTAGTTTATCTGAGGAGGATACATTGTCTGGAAAAAAACTTGACAATATGCAAGGAAAAGTTGAATTCAGGGACATTCATTTTTCATATCCTGGAAGATCGGATACAAAGATATTGAATGGACTAAACTTGGAATTACAACCGGGAGAGTCTGTAGCATTGGTTGGAAGAAGTGGAAATGGAAAATCTACAGTAGCTACATTACTTCAAAGAAGTTATGATCTAAATGAAGGAACAATATTATTAGATAATGAACCATTGAAAAATATTCAACTTCATTGGCTTAGAGAACAAATAGGAATAGTGAGTCAAGAACCAATACTTTTTGATATGACTGTGCGGGAAAATATAACTTATGGTAAAGAAGATGCTACGATTGAAGAGATTGAAAATGTAGCCAAGCAAGTTAATATGCATGAATTCATAAAAACTTTACCAAATGGATATGAGACGAAATTAGGAAGTAGCGGAACTCAATTATCAGGTGGACAAAAACAAAGACTTTCAATAGCTAGAGTTTTGATAAGAAACCCAAAGATTTTAATATTGGATGAAGCTACAAGTGCGTTAGATGCTTCAAATGAACAAATTATACAAGAGACTTTAAGTCAAGTACAAAAAAATAGAACAACATTAGTTATAACTCATAGATTAAACAATATTAAAAATATGGATAAAATAGCTCTTGTTGAGGCTGGTCAAATCTCTGAAATTGGAACTCACCGAGAATTGATGTCACTAAAAAAAGGATATTTTGAATTAGCTATTAGTGGGAATATTTGAAAAAATTAATTTTTAATATTAACAAAAGAGTTAAAGCACCAAAAATAATTCATGGAATTTTTATATAATGTAATTTCTATTTTATTTTATTTTTTCATGGAAGGGAATAACTACATAGGAATTTGGATTGATTTCATTTGTATTTATAGTCATTTTCACTTTCATTATTTAATTTGAAAACAAATAGTTTTTTTTTTTTTTTAAATAAAGTATCTATCTGATATAAATTACACTTTACAGATGCGTTTAATTTTTTTTCTTTTACCAAGTTATAATTGGATTCAAATAACATAAAAGAATAAAGAAATCACAGTAACGTGAAATATCGGGAAGGTAGATAAATAATGAACTTAAAATGCTACGTAGCGTAGTGGGAGGGAATTATTGGAATTAATAATAAATTAGCACAGTAAACCACAGAAGTAATTTAACATAAAAATATTCAGAATTAGCACAGAATCTGTTTTTAACGTTAACCACCTAATTGTAGTTACATGATAACGATAAAGAATTTATTTCACTCATTCGAAAAGTACTGCACACATGTGATATATTGGAATGAATCCGGCCGCATGTACCGGAATTGAATTTATTTAAGAATGCATATTCAATCACTTCATGTGTTAAATTCATGTTTTAATCCGCTGCATGACGTAAGTCATGCTGAGGTTATTATCGCGAGGATCTTCACATGTGAAAGCCAAGGGCGTAATGACAGATTCCTATTACTATTTAAGGTTAAAATGGGAAAATGTAAGAAGTGGATGCGTTGTATTTATAAGTTAAAAGGATTAGATTGAGAACGATAGTGCTTTTTTCTTTCGCTGCCTGACTTTAGTCTGGCTCTTTCGTAGTGTCCCATCTGCAAGTTACATAAAGTAACGATAGTAATGAAATTATTAAAAATAAAAATACTTTAACGAATATCACATACACACGAATATAAATAAACTTAGTTTTACTTTATTAAACCAAAAGAGAAGCAACTTGTGCTAATATTTACCTTAACAATTTTTTTTTTTCTTTTTATACACAAAATTGATGTGTATACCGATTTACTTGTCACGAAACGGTCTGAGGCACCTTCCTGAAATTTATTAAACCTAAAACCAACTTTCTCTAAAAAAAAAAAAAAAAAAAAAGAAGGACAAAAAACGATATAAGGCCATGCAAAAAAAATTTTTCGTTTAACATTACCCGCCGACCCAAATTTAGCAAAAACTTAAAAAAATTTTTTTTTTTTTTTTATAAAAACAATTTGGTTTAAAATGATAATACTAATATATATTTTAATAAATTTAATAAATCTGGTTTAAAAAAATCAACATTTGCCTAATACAAATATAAAATATATATGACCTAACTTAATAATATGATATTTAACTAGTAACTATTATAATATGAACGAATATTTAATGTATTTAATTATGAAAGAAGTTGATTTATTATAAATAGTATATTTTTAATCATTATCAAGCCGTCTATAAAACAATATAATTAATTAATATATTTATTTAATATAATTAGAATTTAATTTAAAATTTTATTTTTGTACTAACTTTTTTTTGTTTTTGTGAATACGTGCTATAAATTTTAAGGACTTTCCACGAGTTGGTGTTTTAACACCTTTTTGTGTACATTCTGTGCATAATGGATATTGAGTAGCTAGAATTGGAGTAACAATATCAGTATCACCGCAATTAAAACATAGCAATGAAAATATTTGGGCAGAGTAATAAGCCTTTTTCATCGGAGAATTACATGTTAATCCATCATTTATAAACACCTTTTCAAATAACTGTTTAATCATTGTTTTGTCAGCATCAAGGCTTGATAAACTTTTGGTTTCGGAATCATAATCACTTTCTTCACTATTTACTAATTCATTATTTATAGATTCACTAGAATTATTATCATTCACTTTACAATTTGCTAGTTCATTATTATCATAATTACTTTCTTCACTACTTATTAATTCATTAATTATAGATTCACTAGAGTCATCAACATTCACTTTACTATTTGCCAGTTTATCATCATTATAATAATCATTTTCTTCACTATATGTGAATTCACTATTATTGCTGCTTTTTTTACTATCTATTAATTCACTATTAATATCAGTATTTGTATAAAATAAATTTTCCCAAATTTCTGAATCTGAATATTGCATATTTTGGTTTAATGAATCATCAGTATTATTCCCAATATGTTTGCTATTACTTGATTCAATTTCACTACTAACTCGCTTTTTACCTTTTGATTTTAATCTAGTAACTACGAATTCAGACTCTGAGTTATTTTCTAATTCTAATTCATTAATTGGTTGTAAAGAAATTTGCTTTTGAATTCCAAAAAGGTTTTCTGCATTATAAAATGATGATCTGCAAGAATATTCAATAGTATCCAAAAATGCAAGTAGCAATTTTTTTTCTTGTTCATTTAGTTTTTGTTTGGAATAAAACAATCGCCATCTTTCACATTCTGAACACATAACTGTTACTCCAACATTTTTTGCTCTTTGTGCTGTACTATTAAATGGCATACTATTTTTATTTTTTTAATTTTGTTTGAAATTTTTTGTTATTATTATTTGTAAGTGAAGGTTGATAAATCTCAGTAGTATTTTTACTATATACATAATCTAAAGAAGCATAATGATCATCTTTTCCTGGAATTGGATCTGGAAAATGATGAATTTGGTCAAAAATATCTTGTGGAAGCCTTATAGGCTCACAAATATTGCACTCTTTTTTCTCACATTTCTTTATTAAAAAAAATAATGCTGTGACTGACAATAATGCTCAAAAAATGCATTAAATTTCAGCTATTAAAATAAGAAAATATTAAATAAAAATATAATAAAAACATAATAAAACTAATAATTTTAAAGTATTACCTTATTTTTAACAGATTTCCAGGTTTTATCAGTTTTTAATATAGTTTGATCTAATTTTAAAATAGTATCAAATAATTGATTAATATCTTTAGCTGTTGCAGCATTTATAGGTGTAAATAGTTCATTTTTTTAATTTTGAAGAAAAAAGATACTATTTAAAAGTTCTTTTACTAGTTGTAAGCTATTATTTAATTCTTGTTGAAGAATTAGATAATTTTTAGCTGCTTCTCTAATATCTTTAATTGAATTACAATGTTCTAAAATTTGTTCAAATTCTTTTGACATTTTTTTGCACATTAATCCAACACATTGAAGTTCAAGATTTAATATGGACATAATTCTTTCAACAGGATTCTTCCATGAATGGCCTGGTGGTATTCTTACAGCTACTAAATAATCAAGGTTGAGAGATAAATAAAGAGAAATAAGAGAAATTTGAACAGATAAATAGTTAACACGATGATCAGATCCCCTATCCGTATATAGAAATAAAATTGGTAAATTAATATCATAATTTTCAATAATATGAAAAAGTTCTGTTGAATGACGTAAAGGAGATGATGCTTCAAATATAGGATCTTTTAAAGCTATAAATACCTGACCATTATAGAATGAATTATCAATTGATTCTAGAATATTGCATTTCATTATAATACTAGGAATAATTCCAACTTTAGTAAAATCATGATCACTAACTAAAAAGGTTTCATTTAAGCCAACTAAAACTTGCTTTCCACGTTCTACTGCTGCTACTGGGTATCTAGGTTCACCCACTTTACAATGATACTTATCATCAAGAAAATAAAATAAACTATATTTACTAAATTTTACTGCTAATTCTTTTTGATATCAAAAAAGTGCTGAAGTATAATGTGTATCAGGATGATTTATACGAAATTGTTGAGCTTGAATCATAAATTTAATATTTAATCGACCAGTATATTGTAGTGCATTTAAATTATAAGGAGATTTTGGCCAAAATTGTAATCGAACCTACTGATTACAAGGAATTAATATTTCAGAAGGACATAGTGCAACAACTTGTTGTACAAAATCATTAACAAAATTGCTCTTGCTAAATGAATTACTGAACTGTGTTTACGATCATCAACAGCAAGTAATGAATCTGCAGTACTAGCAAGAAAATTTTGTGTAACTTTTCAAAATGCTTTATAATGTGTTGGTATACCAGGATTGTGTTCTCGTAAATCAGTAATAATTTTTGGATCTCCAATTTGCAAAGCTAATTTAATTCTTTTATCTACTTCTTTTTCATTTTGATTTTCAGCTATAGCCAAATCACTAGTTAAGTCACAATATAACAAACGTAATACTATTGGTTTAACTGAGCCTAATAACATTTCACATTTAGATCGCCAAAGTTTGTGTATTGCTCTTGTATGATAAATACATATATCTTTTTCTAATATTTTTGCAATCTCAAAATTCCGTAACATTATTTCTGAATTAGATGCATTTACAGATATATGCCATAAGTATATTACTGAAGAACTATGCGTACTATCATATATATATTGTGCTACTTTAAAAGGAAACCCATTATTTAATTCTTTAATATATCGATGTTTTGGCCTATTAATAAACTTAGTTAAAAACAATTGGTAAAAACAATTTACAATATTGCTAATAAACTTACACAGGCTCATTTGGAAGAAATGATTCGATGTTTATTATTTCCCAAAAGTTACTTTGCTCAAGAAAATTAACTAAAGTTTGATAACAATCAATAATGTGAGATTTTCTAACCAAATTAAGCTGGAAAATAGTAAGAAAACTATTGTTTTTTTTAACTAGTTCTAAGGAAAAATGATTTTGAGTTATAGTTATTAGCTGTTTTTGTAAAAATTCTTGATATTGAGACAAATTTGTAGCTAATTACTCTAACGGATTAACAAGCTAATGAAATGCAGGTCTTCTAATCCATGCAGATCTTGTATATTTGAATAGATTATTTGAATGATATGCAAGCGTAATTTTATCAAATTGTTCTCTCTTTTTTTTTAAGCGACTTATATTATAGCATCTGATAAACTG